GGTTGTCAGAAAAACGTTTTCAAAACATGATATAATTTATTTCCTAGCTTTCTCAATCCCAAGTGAGAACAGGACTGTAACGGACACTTGAAAAAGACACTCTAACAGCATCTAAGTGTGTGAGAACGTGTACTTGTCACCTGTGCACACACATTACATTCACAGTTGCTGCTTTCAAGGGCAAAGAAATTTCAATGTTTCTTCATTTCTGACAATATGAAGAAAGACAAAAGTAGGATACAAGACAACAAAAGTCAAATCTTAAAATGTTTTAAGAAAGAAAATCACTACCCCTAGAATGTTGTAGCAACTATAGTGTTAAAGTAAACCTGCTCCAGATCTAATTACAGATTCTACTTCTCAAAGGGCTTTTTCTGTCTGTGATGAAAACTGAGCTGTAAAATTATTGAGGTAGGGATTTAGAGATTTGGCACAACAATCTTCGTAATAAAAATGGCACAAGTGGGACCCTTCTTGCTATTGTTACATGTTAAATCTTATTTGATTGATTTGACTGTATTCCAAATTGCAAACATAAGGTAGAAGGTTGTAATTATGGTTTTATTGATTGATCATTAAGTTTTAATCAAGCTGTTGCTACAGGGAATGGTTACTATTTTGGCAGTGTTCTTTTGTTTCTAAGTTTCCTTCATAGTTGCTTCAAGAAAGTAACAGTGGCTATATTCAATACCAATAAAATATGTTATTGTTTCCAAGGAATCTGTAACATAATTACCATATATCAAAGCAAATGTGTTACAGAATAATGACTGCACTAAAGTATTTCTTATTATCTCTAGGTTACTATACCTTTGTGATCACTGACAGCTATAAATGTTTTCTATTCCTATTTCTTTTTATTTTACAAACGAAAATGTATCTCCTTAAATTCACCTGTTGGTTTATCTTAATCTTAGCAACCATACTTGCATGAATCGGAAATCAAAAGTTTATCTTCTATGAGACTGAAACAGGTTACTAAAACAAGAAAAGCGTAATATGTATATAAGCATTTACTAAGAAAACTAAAACTGAAAGGCTTCAGGAAGTTTTTTTTTTTTTTTAGTTCAAAAATTATTAGAGCATCAGAACCAATATATCCACAAACTTCACAAATTTGGCAAACTTCTCAGCATACCAAACCGTAACTGAATTTAAAGTCCACTGAAGGTCAATATTGGCAGGGTGCAGTGGCTCACGGCTGAATTACAGTGTTTTGGAAGGTCACAGTGGAAGAACTGCTTGAGGACAGGTGTTCAAGAGTAATCTGGGCAACACAGTGAGACTCCATCTTTACAAAATTGTTTTAAAAAATTAGCCAAGCATGGTGGTATTTGCAACACCACCATGTCCAGGTAGCCATAGTCCCAGCTACCCAGGAGGCTAAAGTGAGAGGATCACGTGAGCCTAGAAGTTAGAGGCTACAGGAGCTATGATCACACCATTGCACTCTAGCCTGAGTGACAGTGAGATCGCACCATTCATTCATTTGTAAATATGTGTGTGAGTGAACATCAAGAAGTACTTCATGTGGAAAGTCCTCAATCTACATTCACAATTGTCCTCTTAAGATTCTCTAGGAATTGTCACAGCTGGTGGCACACACCTGTCGTCTCAGCTACTGAGGATCCCTTGAGGCCAAGAGTCTGAAGCCAACATGGGCAAATTACCAAGAGCCCAGCTCCATGAAAACTATAAACAGGTGTTTGATATTTTGGCCTTACCAATTCAGGGACCAAGGAAACCCCAAGAGACACAATCCAATAAGAATGTCCTTATCTGTTTTAACCCCAGTCTCATGAATACTTGTTTCCTAATCTAAAGTCCACCTACCCCACCTCCCATGCCTAACAGTCCACATGCCAAATGTTATGACATCATATTTGGAAATCTTAAAAACTTTGAGCCTTTTTCCAAGGCTCCAATTTTTTTTAATATTAGTTACAAATATTAGGAGCATTAGAATTTTTTAGAATTAGAGTATTTGTAGAACAGAACTTTCTACCAATAGAAGATACAGGATTAACATGAGAAATCTAATAGCTACTATTTGCCCTACCTATTATATCACTCTATTTTCTTGGACAGAAGTTTATAAACTGAAGAAAGCCTGCCCTTCAACATGGCCAACGAGCTTTCATGCAAGATAGCCCCATGTGAAATGAAGTGGCCAGGTTCTTTTTTTGCTGTTTGCTCTCAACAACGTATCAACAAACATAACTATATATACTCCAAACTAACTACAAGTAATGAGACTGCAATGCCAGAACGTAATCATCAAAAACAATTTTAAAAAGAAATGAAGTAATGACAGATGCTACCACACGGATGAACCTGGAAAACACTACACTAGCTGAAAAAAGGCTGTAACAAAAGGCCACATATTGTAGGATTCCATTTATATGAAATGTCCATATGAGGCAAATTCATAGAGACAGAAAGTAGACAAGTGGTTGCCTAGGGGTGGGGAGGGTTGGGGTGAAATGGGGATTGTGACTGCAATGGGTAAGGGCTTCCTTAGGGGAGAGATGAATGTTTTAAAATGGAGTTTGGCAATGGTTGTACAACTCCGTGACTATGGTGTAAACCACTGAGTTGTACACTTTAAATGGGTGAATTGTATGCTATGTCAACTATGTCTCAAGAAAACTGGTTTAAAAAAAATTATCTCCTTTATGTTAATTTTTACTTTTCTCTTACCTCTTTTTTCCATAACCCCAATTCACTATATTCTTAAGCAAGGAATATTAGCTTACTAAGCAGTTTGTAGATTCTCGTTCAAACTTTCTAAAGAAAAAAAGTGCATCAAAAAACAATTCACAATATAACACAATTTTTTAATGTAAATGTTATAAAGGCTAATTCATTTCCCAAGTATTCTACGTAAACATATGCCATTACTGGTCTAATTACAAAGAAAAATGTGATTTGCTAAAAGGCTTACAAACCTAAGACTTCTTCTTCATTGTGTTGTCCATTTCTATTATGCCCATCACAAGGCTGGGGGGTTAACAGGACTGCATGACTACCAGGCTGTGTGATTTGAAAATAACACGAATAAGCAACAGACAAGGCTGTCCCTCAGTATTGTGCAGAAAGGGTAGGGAGCAAGGTAAGTTAATGAGGGTTATGAAGAAACTTTTATTTGTATTACACATTTCTCTTCTGCATTAGTTTCGAGGTGTTTAAAAAAAAAAACAAAAACATAACCGTGTTTATGATTTCGGTTTAAAAATGTCACTTTCGACCAGGCACATGGTTCATGCCTGTGATCCCAGTACTTTGGAGAGGCTGAGTCAGGAGGACTATATGAGGCTGGGAGTTCGAGACCAGTCTGGAAAACATGAGACCCCCATCTCTTCAAAAATAAAAACAGAAGTATCACTTATACTTACCACTTACAGTATTGTGTTCTACTTCAACTCAAATTATTTACAAAGGAATGAGTTTGTCATTGTTTCCAATTTTACTTCATTATAATGACACAACAAATGATCTATAATGACACTGTCTCTGCAGTATTCAATAATACTTGCCCTGTGGGCTATTAATATTTTTATTAAAGTTCTGATTATGCTTGAAAAAAGTTGATCTTGTTGGGTGCAAAGTTTTACATATATCAACAGGCCAATCTTGCCATGTGTTGTTCAAATCTTTTACGGCCTTAATAAATTTATGCCCACCTGTTCTTAATGCTCTGAGACAGAGATGTGACTATCTCCAACTAAGACAATAGTTTTGTTCATTTCTCCTTAAAATTCTGCCAGTTTTTGCTTTGTATGTTTTGAGACTATGTTATTCAGTACAGATTCAGGCTTGTTACAGCTCCTGAAATAACTGCTCCTGTATCATTATGCACTGGTCTCTGTTTTTTGCCTAGAGTATTTTTTCCTAATACTAATATTATGCCACAAACTCTTTTTCAATTAGTATTTCTCTATTAGTTAAGGTTTCATCACTGTTAGTGATAAGGATAAGGATTATAGAGATCTGAGCAGCAATTATGGGCGCTAATTAAGCAGTTTGTGTAAGGCTGTTGCCTTTGCATCTAGTGTTTGGATAGAAATCAACAGGTAGGCGGCCAGGCGTGGTGGCTCATGCCTGTAATCCCAGCTACTTGGGAGGCTGAGGCAGGAGAATCACTTGAACTAGGAGGCGGAAGTTGCGGTGAGCCGAGATAGCGCTACTACACTCCAGCCGGGGCAATAAGAGCAAAACTCCGTCTCAAAAAAAAAAAAAAAAAGTGATATGGTTGCTCCTGCTGTTTCTAAGAAATCAATGGGCAGGCAACAGGGAAGGAAAGCTGGATGTGAAGTGGGGGAGGAACAAGGACAGGCTAGAACACACATTTATTTCTCACCAGCCCGTGACAGAACTTGAAGTATAAGCTGGCGCCCGGCATCACAGAGCCCACAAATCTGACCTACAATTTGGGGAAGCTGATGGAGAAGAACCAGCGGGAGCTGGAGGAGCTGGAAGCCAAATGCCAACACGGTAATACAGCAAAGTCAGTGACAGGGCATGTGAGCTGCAACAGTGCCTGACCATGTGCCAACCTTCTGAGCATAAATCCAGCAGCTGCTTCGCTTCTACCTTACAAAGAACATGCAGATTTCTCTTGTGGCTGATCCAAACTGAAACTACTTCAGAAGGAAATTCTGGGAAAAGCAGTTTCAGCTCAGTTGTGCTGACACAATACAAAGCTGTCACAATTCGCATTGGATACCTTCTTCTACCTCTTTTTCTTTTTCCCATATAATTATGTTTTAGATCCATCTCTATAAATATACATAGCTTCCGTCCTATCTAAGGCTCTTTTAGTTGTCAGGCTCTATCTTTTAACTGTCATATTTAATCCATTTACATTTGTTGGTATTTATGACTTTCATAATTAAAAAATAATTTAAAAAAATAAAATATGTACTGAAAACATATGCATGACTTGCATTTCTGAAGTATTTTATACACATGGTATATATTTGTAAGTATTTCTTACTTACCACTTCTCCAGCAGAGGCAGCCAACATATGTTTCATAGGTGTCAAATATGAAGATGAATCAGTATGCAAAAACCACTTCACATATTCATAGGTGATAAAAAATGCAGCAGCTGAAATTTAAAACAAGCCAGTCTTTCACAAAGTTTAAACACATATTCAAACTGTTAAGAAACATGTTTCTCAAAAGGTATGACAATAATTACTAAATTATGAGATAATAGAAAAGGTGATAAGCACGTATCTTTTTTTCCTACTCCCACTCTTTCAGAATTTACTGAGACCATGTTATATGCCTCATCCTAGACTTAAAAAATGCAGAAAATATAATGCCTACCCTGAGGGAGCATACGAGCTAATCCAGCACTTACCAATTATACTGAAAAAATACTTAAACATTTTTAAAGTCAACGTTAGAAAAGGGTAAGAATTTCTATGATCCACAATATGTGTGGCCATAAAACAATCAAACTACATTGATAAATACACAGGTTAAAATTACAAACATAAAATTTAACCTAAAGAAAATGTCTATTCTACAACGCTTTACTGCTGGTTACACAAAATAACCATGGCTATTTTTTTACTGCATAAATTCACCTTTACATCAAGAAAACAATCAACCATTTAATTAAAACTGGAAATCAAAATCTCTAAAAAGCTACCCCATTACCATGAACTAATCGTAGCTGCCCCTGAGAGCTTTAAAACTTTCTATGTACTGTTAATCAATATATGTTTATCAGTTGGATAAAAGATAAGGCATAAGAGATAAAGGAATGACAAATTAATCTTCTGAAGGACATTTCAACATGTCACAAAGTCTGAAACACTGAGGAAAACAGCTTGATAGGGAAAATCAGTTCTCCAAAGTCAACAATCTTGTAAAGGATCTTCACATGCCAACAAATATGCACTAGACCAAATGAAGGGGCACGCCATCCATGAATGAATAATAACCAGTTCAGGCAGTTTTACGCGGTTAACACAGCCTATTCCCATTTGTGTTTCTTCATATGATTTTTCCACTTATGCCCACTCACTAAATGTGCAGCTATAATACCTCCAATTGCATTCAGCTGTTAAGTTCTGCCACTATACATCCTACCCTCCTAACCCCCAGGAAAGGGAGAAAGATAGTGGTAAAACTTCCTCCATTTCATGGCTAACCACCTCAACCTCGTCTAACTTTATGGCTTCTTTTGTGACATACACGATCCCCTTAAGAATATAAGTTCCAGGTTCCTAACCTCCCTCCACGTCCCCCCAGGGGCATCCAAGAAGGCCTCTATTAAATGTCAGTACAGTCAGGTTCCAAGTGGGGGCACTGAACAAGCTAAGGCAAAGAAGAGGGGCTGGGCTACCTGATAACTATAGTTTCCTCCAGCTCAAAAAGAAAAAAACTTATATATATAACATATATATATGGTTTCTCTACATTCCCTTTGAAATAGGGAGTAACACATAAGTCTTCTCTTCACCTCTTTCCATCTTTGGTACCCTCTAGCTCAACCCCAACCCCTCACTCCTGCAGCACAGGTTTACAAAAACATCCACAGCCACTGATGATCAACTATAGTGAAGCTCTGTACTCAGATTAGAATCTTAGCCAATAGCAAAAGAAAAAAAGACACCATACAAAAAAAGTCCAATTCAATCAAAATTTGCAGCAAAAACAACACTAGTTTTGAAACCCTGGTACTTTGATTTTTCCCTAGCATCTCCCATTCACTGAAGTTTGGTGGATGGCAAAAAAAAAAAAAAAAAAAAAAAAATTCAAAACCACATTTTAAATGTAAATTCCTAAGAATGTAAAACCTGTGATCTTAATGACGACATCATGCAACGTATACACTATAGCTAGTAATACACCTCCCCACAATAATCTTTATGTGCCATATGTAAGAGAAAAAGATCTTTAGAGCAATGAATGTAAATGAAGAAGACACCATAAAAAAATGGTGACCAAAAGATAGAGACTTAGTGACATGCTTCTTCGCAATTCCCTAGTTCAGAGGTTCTCAAACTTGTCTAAATATAAGATTCATCTTAGGATTTTTTTTAAAAAAAAAACATCCAATGCCCAGGCCATATCTCAGACCAATTAAGTCACAATCTCTGGGGTTAGGTGACAAGGACCAGTACAGGTGATCCTTGAACATGAGTTTAAATGCACAGATTCACTTATACAAATATTCCAATATACAATAAATATATTGGCAAATTTTTTGGAGATTCGTGACAATTTGAAGAAACATATATGAACCACATTCCCTAGAAATATCAAAAAAAAATTAAGAAAAGGCTGTTTCATTAATACATAAAATATATGTCAATACTAGCCTATTTTACCATTTACTAACATAAAATATATTATAAAAAGCTAAAATTTATCAAAACTTACAAACACAAACCACAGATCAAATCATTCATAATTGAGAGAAATGTAAACAAAGGTAAAGATGGGTCAGGCACAGTGGCCCACACCAGTAATCCAGCACTTTGGGAGGCTGAGGTTTGAGCTCAGGAGTTCAAGACCAGCTTGGGCAACATGGAGAAACCCTGTCTCTACAAAAAAAATAAATAATTAGCTGAGTGTGGTTAGCCACACCTGTAGTCCCAGCTACTTGGGAGACTGAGGTGGGAGGATCACCTGAGGCTGGGAGGTTGAGGTTGCAGTGAGCCAAGATCATGCCACTGCACTCCAGTCTGGGCAATGGAGTGAGACCTGGTCTCAGGGAGAAAAAAAGAGAGGTGTAGTGTTAAATTAAAACTGCATAAAATTAACTGTAGCATATACTGTACTCTGAGCCACCTCCTCTTGCTGTAATGAATTCAGGTGTTGCTGAGTGGCCACTTAAAATGCCATGTGACAGTAATTATCTCCAGAAGAGTGGTTCATCTCCCCCAATAAGTTGCGTATCGTAGTACAAAAGGACCTCTCCCAGTTCTTATGTATTTTTTGTTGTGGTTAGTGCCATATCACAAGCTCTGAATAATGCCATAGGACCCACAAAGTGCCACTAGTGATGCTGGATGTCATCACATTACGAGAAAGCTCCTAAGAAGCAAAAAGGAGTCATGACATTGTAAGAAAAATTGCTTGTTAGGTACTACAGACTGAAACCTGAATGAATCCAGCTTAATTTATTGTATATTAAAAAAAAAGAAAGAGAAAAAAATTCATTAACCCAGCTCTGCAGCTTTGCAAAGTAACTTTTTTCTTGTTTTGAAAACGCAGCTTTTATGTGGGAAAAGAATTGCTATAATAAAGGCATATTTATTATCCCTAAAATGATTTGAGAAAAAGCAAAGTAATTTCATGACAAAAAAGAAAGGTAAAGGATCTAAAGCTGAAGGATTTAATGCCAGCCAAGGATGGTTTGATAATTTAGAAAGAGATTTGGCTTAAAAATGTCAAGGTAATAGGAGAAGCAGCTTCTGTCATTCATCAGTCAGTAATCAAGTTCCCAGCTGCCATTAAGTAAATCACTGAGGAGAAAGGAAACCTGCCTGAACAGGTTTCTCATGTAGATTAAAGTGCCCTATTCTGGAAAAAGAAAAATGTCACAAGGACATTTATTAGTAAGGAAGAGAAGCAAGCAAATCCTTCACAGCATTCATGACAAAGCCAATCAAGAAAATAATAAAAGAGATTGTGGATGTGGGGAAAAAAAAAAAAAAAGTTGGGGGTGAAGGGTTTCAAAATATAGATCTTAAAGAAATTCAAGAGCTAACAGACACCACACCAGAAGACTTAACAGAAAACAACTTGGTGGAGATGACTGCTTCCAAACCAGTGTCAACTGATGAGGGGAAAATATAGAAGGAGCGCCAGAAAAGAAAATGACATTAGACAACCTGGCAGAAGGGTTCTGATTATTAGAGACTGCTTTTGGTTTCTTTTATGACAAGGACTCTTCTACAACATGGGCACTGAAACTAAAGCAAATGGTGAAAGCATTGGTACCACATAGAATCATTTTTAGAGAAAAGAAACAGCAAAAAAGTGAGAGAGAAATTATGATTTATTTCCATAAAGATACACCATGTGGGCCTGCTTCTCCTGCCTCCCCTTCTACCTCCTCTACTTCTTCTGCCTCTGCCACCCCTAAGACACAAAGACTAACTCCTCTTTTTCCTTCTCCTCAGCCTACTCAACATGAAACACATTGATGACCCATTTCCACTTAGTGAATACACGTTTTCTCTTTCTTATTATTTTCTTAATAACATTTTTTTCTCTAGCTTACTTGATTTTAAGAATACAGTATATAAAACATTTGCCAGGCACAGTGGATCATGCCTATAATCCCAGCACTTTGGGAGGCCAAAGCAGGCATATCACATGAGGTCAGGATAACATGGTGAAGAACAATCTCTACTAAAAATACAAAAATTAGCCGAGTGTGGTGGTGTGCGCCTGTAATTGCAGCTATTTGGGAGTCTCAGGCAGGAGAATCACTTGAATCTGGGAGGTGGAGGTTGCAGTGAGCTGAGATCGTGCCACTGCACTCCCTGGGTGCCACAGCAAGGAGAATTGCCTGAACCCAGGAGGCGGAGGTTGTGTTATATGTTATAACATATAACACATAAATATATGTTAATATGTAACACACATACAAAGTATGTGTTAATCAACTATAATATCATTAACGCAGCAGCAGGCTATTAGTAAAGTTTTGGGGGAGTCAAAAATTACATTCTGATTTTCAGCTGCACAGGAGAGGTTGGCACCCCTGCACTCCATGTTGCTCAAGGTCAGCTGTATTTGTTTAAGCTCCTCAGCAATTAGGCGATTTCAAAGTAGACAAATTTGGGAACCCATGCCCCTCTCCCACACTTAAAACTATGCCTGGCATGGAGTTGATGCTCAATAACAACTTGTTACAATTACTCAAATATTAACACATACAAAAAGTCAAGGATGACCAAAAGAGTTCGCCAGTCTAATGATGGCTGGGGGATGGGGAAGAGCAGGAGGGGAAAAAAAAAAACAAATACTATTTTTCTCTTTGCACTATAAATTTTTATATAAATGTTATGCTCACAGATTGAACACTTAAATGTCAGCTTAAGGGTAAAAATTTCTTGCCAGGCGCAGTGGCTCATGCCTGTAATCCCAGCTCTTTGGGAGGCCAAGGTGGGCAAATCGCAAGGTCAGGAGTTCGAGACCAGTCTGGCCAACATAGTGAAACCTCTTAAAAAAAAAAAAAAAAGTAAAAATTTCTCATTAATTATCCCGCAAAAAAACAAAAGCAAATCGCAGAATTTAAGAATCTTCTAGAGCTGTGGTTCTGTGGGTGTGTCTTATGTGTGGTGATTTTTTTTATTGCTTTAGTTTACTTTTGAATGCCACTAGAGGCATCCAACAGTAAACAAAGTAAGTATCTGCAAACAGTATACCAAGAAGCAGATTAAACAAAACAGATTATACTGACTAAAGAATAAGAGAGTCATAAGTCACATGACTTCAGAAACAAAACAAAAGTTGCTGGAAGGAGAGTATCCAGGAGAGCATTAGTGAGAAACACTTGCATCATCTAAGAGCAACTGAATTAGGATAGAAATCTTTAATGCCTCTTAGGTTCACCTGCTCTCTAAGATCTCCAAAGCAGCTATCATCAAACTTGGCTTCACACTGTAGTCACCTGGGAATTTATTAAAACTTATGATACCGAGGCAAAACCTAGACTAATTAAAATTCTAGGATGACACAGGATATCAGTATTTTTTAAGGCTTCCCAATGGATTCTAACGTGCAGGTAAAGTTGAGAATGATTGTTCTGAGGAATCACAACATTAAAATAACACTTTAAGGATTCTAGCTGGAAATTTGAACAACAAAAACCATTTTTAAAAGATTGCTCTTTTTTCCCTATTACAAATAGGAATCTGTAACACTATCTGATTCAAAAATAATGAGTTAGGCCCAGCACAGTGGCTCATGCCTATAATCCCAGCACTTAGGAAGCCCAGGGTGGACAGATTGCTTGAGCGTAGGAGTTTGAGAACAGCCTAAGCAACATGACAAAACCCATTCTCTACAAAAAATACAAAAATTAGCTGGGCATGGTGGTGCACCCCTGTAGTCCCAGCTACTTAGGGGGCTGAGGCTGGAGTGTTGCTTGAGCCCAGGAGGTCAAGGTTGCAGTGAGCTATCATCTCACCACTGCACTCCCGCCTGGGTGACAAAGTGAGACCCTGACTTAAAAAAACAGTAATATATAATAACAGGTTAAAGAAGGAAATTCAGAAGATAAGCTTCAACACACAAGGAATTCTATGTGGGGTAAGACCACACACCATTCTGAAAATTCCATTTTATCTTGGCTTTACAGGAGTAAGAATAGCAATATAATATTTTACCATTAGGGAAGGATCCAATAGCAGCAGAGGGAACACCAGCATATATTCCATGAAAACCACCAGCCTTGTGAAATCCTTGAGGACTCTGCAGCCTGGTTTTAATGGTATCCAGAGGAAATAATATCAAGTCAACAGAAACACCTGCTACCCCACCAGCCTTTGAAAAAAAAGAGGAGGGGAGAAAAAGAAAAAAATAAAATAAACAGTTAAAACAAAATAAGCTCTCTGCCACTTGGCAGCAAGGATAGGAAGAAGGCAGTCTTTAAAGCACATTTCTCATTCCTCTCAGTCCACAACTTCTGTGGCCTTCAACCTAAACCTAGAAGTTTTCCTTGGAAAATAGCTACATTTTCAAGTTGTAAATTTTATATTTTCTTTTTAAATCGATTTTTAATACAAAATTTTTTAAACAAAATTTAAATTCATTGTTAATACAGTACTCACATGGTTCAAAAAGCTAAAAATAATTTTTTTAAAAAGGCCAGATGTGGTAGCTCATGCCTCCCAGCACTATGGGAGGCAGAGGAAGGAGGATCACTTGAGACCAGTTGAAGATCAGCCTATGCAATACAGTGAAACCTCATCACTACAAGAAATAAAAAATTAAGCTGGGCATTGTGGTTCCAGCTACTTGGGAAGCTAAGGAATAAGGATCACTTGACCCTGAGACTTCAAGGGTTCAGTGAGCTATGATCATGCCACTGCAATCCAGCGTAGGCAACAGAGCAAGACCCTGTCTCCTAAAAATAAATAAACAGCCAACAGAAACAAAAATAAACCTCAGAAAGGTAAAAAGTTCAAACTTTCCTTCCAACCCTCTTCCTAATAACTCAGGTAACCACTTTTATTGGTTTCTTGTTGTATCCTTCCAAAGTTACTTTAAACATATATAAGCAAGAATGAACATATATTTTAGTTTCCGTTTCTTTAAAAAGATGACGTACAATATGCACTATTCTGCACTTTTTTTTATTTAACAATTTATCTTGATCTTTTTATATCAGACCAAAAGTTTTATTACTGCCTTAACTAATAAGCAGTGAATCTGAATTGACTCCTTTGAGACTTGAATTTTGAAACAGCTTATGATCCCTGTGAATCTGGATCTGTATTTTAAGAAACACACATCTAAAGATTCATACAGTATTATCTCCACTTAAAATGTATTTGAAAATTCCTTGATAATTTTTAAATCGAGAATAAATTTTTTAAGGAGCTAAATTACTAGAGGAAATTAAAATCCAGCCCAAACTAGTCATCTCCCAAGAGATACCATGTTGCTTTGGAGAAGCTGTACTTTAAAAACTAATTCCTGCTAAATGGATTTTGGGGGAAAAATGATTAAGAAATAACTCTGTAACTCATGATTATAGTGAAGCATATCTAGAATATTTTTAAACTGGTTACACCTTAGTCAAAGAAAACAGAAACTGAGAAAATATAAACACAAAGAGCATCAAAGTAAGGTTAATACATATGAATCCTTACATGTGTGATTATTAAAATACAGATCTAGATTCGCAAGGATCATTAGTTGTTTCAAAATGTGGGTCTCAAAAAAGTCAATACAGATGCACTACTTGTTAGTTAAAAAGACAAAAACATAACATTTGTTCTGATACAAAAAGATCACACAGATCTAAAGGCATCATTTAAAGATGTGAGTCATAGTTTACAATAGGCAGACAGAAGCACTATAAAGAGGAGACTGTTTCCTACATACTAATTTTTTGACTGAATTGCTAGGTTTTGCTGTATTTTGAATTCTGAACCATGTGAATATATTACCTATTCAAAAAGTAAAAATCTACATTTTTAAACTATACATTTCATGACAAAGGAAAACAAAACAATCAGTATCATTCAAACATACAAGCCAAGTTCAAATTGATTGACTGTTTCCATCCTTTGAGTTTACAAAAGTTCATGTGCTACAAAGCTTGGTACCTATTTCATGTGCTACAATGCTTGGTACCTAGCAAATACTATCTGCTTTACTTACCACTCACCATAAAACCATCCCAGAAGTTAACTGGAAAAATGAAATACTTTAATGATAAATCCAATACCTATTTTCAAATTAATTAGCACAGGTTATAAAAAATTAATTTACAATAGATAAAAGTACATTACTACAAGTTTAATACTATACTTTATGATCAGCCCAAAGACATGAAAGAAACCCAAAGACCCTAAAGTTCTACTCTGCAAATGACCTAAGAAGACATCTCCCAAAAGGGCACAGAGATGTGCCAGGAGAGAAACCAAGCAGTACCAAAAGAATATCCAATAATGTGGGATTTCTTTCTGGATATAAAGGCGGCCTTCCCTACGTCATGGGAAAAAGTTCACAAGTAATGTAGGAAAGTAAAAAGGCCACTCTTCAAAACTCTTCTTACTTGTTTCAGGATTTTTATAAAATTCAGTAAGTAGAGACAGGCATGGTGGTATGTACCTGTAATCCCCGCTACCTGGGAGGCTGAGTCAGGAGTCTGAGATTACAGTGAAGTATGATTGTGCCCATGAATAATCACCATGCTCCTGCCTGGGCAACATAGGGAGACCTCATCTCTAATAATAATTTGGTAAGCAAATATTTTGCCTGCCTCCTCATTTTCTCAAAATACAGAGAGAATAAAATCCTGGTGAGAATGTTTCATGTGACTAGATTATTTAAAAACATGCTGCACTTTACCTAATTTTCTCTTTAATCTTAGGATTCAGAGAAGTGCTATCTAATGCTAAATTTTAATCAATAAGTTAATTACTCTTTTAATTTAGTTGGCTACTTTACATATATTGATTCTCTAACCCTTCTTTCATCACAATTCTTATGTTCCGAGGAAAAAAATGACCAGATTCAATCTACTTGTCTGGTAAAACATGTCTCAAGAATTACTAATCGCTTCTACGGATTTCAAACTTCTATGTAACTCAAAACTCGTTTAAATTCAAGAGACAAAAAAAAAATCAACTAACAGACAAACTGAGGAATAAGAATATCTATATATTTAGCCACATAACAACGTATTTCAGATTTAGATAAAAACTTTAAGGAATGCCTATAAACTTGTATCAGTATTGTTTTATATGCAATGATGTATAAAATATGTAAGCCAATAACAACCTAATTACAAAAAACTCTATCGAACTTTCATTCTTCAGCCCGAAAATTTTATTTTGTTATAATCATTTATCAGAAGGTTATCAGGCAAGTAATTAGATTCATAATTTATGGTAGCTTACACTGAAAAATTCTAACAACTAGGAAAAAATCCAAAGAAATAGAACATAACCCAGATAACCAGCAAACCTTGCTAGAGCACCACAATGTATTGAGATCTCGGTATCATATAGATAAAATATATGTCTCTACCTTAAGTTAAAAAATGTATGACGTTCTAGGCTGCAGAGAGGAAGTGCCTAATTATTGCTCTGCAATTACTCTGAGAAGTGAAAGGTCAGAATTACATGCTATAAAACTTTTTTTCTCAAAAGGAGGAGGGCACAACACCACAAAGAAAGCATCACTGCTCCCCTCTAGGACAAAACCAAACCATCTGTGTAATGTAACTAAGCAAAATCAACACAGGCCACTGGCCTAAACGACAGCTAAGAAGAACCAGCCATAATGAGGGAAGGTGCTCTCTTTCCAGGTCCACGAGGGGGCGTAGTTTTAAGGGCAAGAATGTCCCAGTGCCATGCCCCACTCCCAACTCTCTCCATCTGGGAGATTTAAGGGTTTATGTTTGAATTTTGCCAGCAAAGGAAGAAACTAAGAGTCAATCACCCCAGTGGAAGTTTAAAGGAACTCCTTTCATTGGCCAGAGGAACTTGGGAAGGTGGGAATTTCTCCCAGGATAAATTCCCCTGCTCCTTCACCAGCACCAGGTTTCCAGCTCTCTGGAATCCGCACCCACGTGGTGGGAGCTCCCTTTCCCCTCTGGGATTTTCCCCTCTGGGATTTTCCCCTGTGGAATCCCCTTCCACACTCTTCATGGAAGTCTCTCTCTTCTCTTTTCTCTACCTTAATAAAATCACCTTTCTGCAACACTTCTTGGGTCCGGTATTTACTTTTATGAGCATATGGCGCACCTGCAGTGGTCCCATCGCTTACTCTTTAAGAGATTGGAGACCAAGAACCCACAGCATTCTCTTGGGGGAGCTGTGCCTCACCAGCACCCAAGAAAAAGCCCGGTTACAATAACATTAACATGCCTTCTCAAGGGAAACAGTCCCCTGACTTGCTCAGTTTCCTCCACAATGAAGTGGTCACCCATGATGTGAACACCACCATCTTCCTCACTGCAGAGCTGCCACCTCTGGTTTCTGACATACTTGTCACCTTCCCCACTTCTCATTCACTCTCCCTGCAATGCCCGCTGCCTCTCTGTATCAATCATTTTCACAAAAATGCAAATTTCATCTTGCCACTCTCCAGCCTATAAATCTTCCAAACTTTCCAACAACACTGAGGATGAAGAAGAAAACCCTAGCACGGCCTTTAAGGTTCTGGAAGTTCTGGAGCCCCTCCAACTCCGTAAACTTGCACTATGTGCCCTTTGCTCAGTCCTTTCTTGCCACCTCGATCTTTTCCTCTAAATCATCCAATCTTCCACATTTTAAGGACTTTGTACAGGTGCCGTCTAATCTCTAGTTCAGGTTTAGAGTCTCTTGTTTCCAAGCACCGAACACAATTTTAATTACATAGTTTTGCCTCTGACCATTTGTTCAGTACCTGTCCAACTAAACCATAAGATTTGTATCTGTTTTGTTTACTAATATGTTCCCAGAAACAGCACATATTAATAGGAGGCACTCAATGGCTCTAATAAAGGGTTACTATTTCTATTTTAGAAGGCATTACAAATCAATCTTAAAAAGGTACATTTAATTTTTCTCAAAAATAGCAAAAGACAGGACTAGGCAATTCACAAAAGAAAAATATAAATGACTAACAAAAATATGAAAATATGCTTCCTCATCATCAGTTATCAAATAAAAACAAAATATTTTCCCAATTAAATTGGAAAAAACTAAAAATATGAAGAATGGGTATGGGCACTATTGACAAAAACATTACCATAATCTACTGGAGGACAATTTGGCAAAATGAACATTTTAAATTATCAAACCCTTTGATCCAGTTATTTTATT